GATTGATATGATGAGCTGCGGATCGCAATCCGACCTCAGCTCACTTTCGCCGCTCAGTAAGCTCCTGGAACAGGAAAATCATCAGAAACTGTGTCACACAGAAACATCACAGCAAAACTGTTTCGCTCAGCAATGAAGTCGGATAAAAAACGATGGATTTTTCCCGTTTGAAAGGCTCCTATCATATTCAGGGTGTCTCATATGTATATTGGATGATTATGCAGTGTTATACAATGAATTGTTTATTCCTTACAGTTATGTGGGATATACTGAAGAACCGCTATAAATCACAGGTCCGCCTCTGCAACTGGCAACTTTTTCCAGTCCCCTGACTAGCAATGCATTATTTCGTTATCAACCTGACAGCGATACCGATGTTTGCTTCATGTCACATAAGAATTACCAGTTCGTTGATTTTCCCAAAAAAACTTGGCAAAGCTTCAGACGCTTCGAAATGTCTTTGTATGCTGAACAACAACATTTTGCCCTCAATGTTGCTACTCTCAGACAACGATTAAGCGCAATACCTACTACGAGATTCTCCTCCAACTTAGAAATGATGACAGCCTATTCAGCAAAAACTATTGTTCCCTGTTTCTTTAACATGTTATTTTCAATTATACGGAGTTAAGTCAATGCGATGAGTTCAGAAGCAAGCATAACACATGGAAAAAACGCCAGTTACAGCATCGATGCTACACGACAACGAAAGAGAAGTTAATTAAAGTATTGAAGTAAAATGATTTTAAGGAAATTAACAAATCTAGTCTTTTTAAATGCCATGATCTACAAAAAAAAAAGATGTGAAAAATTCAAGGGCCAAGGTAACAAAAAAAATTAAAAAAAAGTCGAATGAGCTATATGTGGACCTGAGTGTGGCGCTATCATCCTCGTTCAAGCATTCCACTTGTGATTTGTCAACAAATGTTATGAGATCAGTTTGCCCGGCCACAGGACTCTCCTCCTTCGGTGCACTATCCGACCACTTCTTCACCATCGTTTCCAGTGCACTTGGATCGCCGCCACGTAGTGAATCAACTTTCACCCTGCATTTTTTAAGAAAATTGCCATAAAAAACTGCAAGATGCTAACAAAATGGCAGAAAATTTGAAAAAGTTGTCGTATGTCCCTGGAAGAAATTTGATTTTAAAAAAAGTACTGCTTTTCTGGCAATGATTAATAACTTCTCATTGCTGTTGCTCCGATTTGTCATCCCTCAAAAAGTAACAATTGCCTGTTCAAATATACATAAAACGTCGGCATTGCAGTGATGCCT